TATTTTTAAGAGTGTGATAATTTGTTAGCAACTGGCTTATCCTAGGAAGTTTTGCTGGTGAATTTGCTATTCTGTTCCTTCCTGTGGGTGCTTCTCATAATCTTCAAACCCACACAGACCAACAGAAGCAGCGTGGCCCAGAATCTACCTGTTGAATGTTGGTGGTGTTCAGTGCAGTAGAATTGGTTCTAACTTATAGTGACCCTGTATAGGAGAGGCTGGTGGGTTTCAACTGTGGACCTTTAGAGTTTATCCTACAACACTACATCAGGACTCCATGTGTTGAATCACTTTTTACATCTTTTCCTGAGGGTAAGTGCTCTGTGGGTTATCTCACCTTAATGACTAGGTGACCGGTCTGTCCCTGTTACCACCATATTTTAGACAGGAGCAGTTTTCACAATCCTAGCGGCAGTGGTGGTGGTGTGCTGTGGAGTCGGTTCTGACTCATAGCGACCCTTCATAGGGTTTCTGAGGCTGTAAATCTTTACGAGAGCAGAAAGCCTCGTCTTTCTCCTGAGCAACTGCTGATAGTTTTGAACTGCTGACTGTGAGATTAACAGTCCGACTCGTAACCATTATATTACCAGAGCCAGAGATTTGTCTTGGGGACATTTGCAGTACAGAAGTGAATGTGAATGATTCAGCCAGATTAATGATCCTTCAAAAAGTGATATATGTGAAGTGAGGGAACATGCACAAGAACACCCATACTTGCAATAGTAGCCATTTGACCTGGCTTCAATGGCTGGATGATCAGAACTCAACTAGAGGAAGAAAGAAGAGGAAAAAAAGAGTAATCCAACACAATTTGGTGAACTTGACCTATACTTATGGATGTAGAACCTCAAAAGTGGGAACGGATCTTTACAGGGAATATCATTCCCACCCTCTCGGTACACAGGGTTGACAGGGATGGGCAACTTAGACATTGGCTGCCCAAAATAGGGGGCTACAAAAGCAAGAAGTGACTGGCTTACAAGCTTTTGAGAGGGAGCCTAGTTTGGGGGCTGGGGGTGGGGGGAAGAGGAAGTCCAATCACCACTTAGTGGTTTCCAAACTGTCTGGATGGGGCTGGTGAAAGGAGATGGGAATAAGACTCTTGTGGTTCAATAGTGAATAATTGCTGTCAGGACTGATTGTGAGTGTTGCAAATGTAAAGGCAGATGTTTTGTAACAAAAGGAGGTGAGCAGCTGATCTTGCAGTCCAGGAGTGGAGGACTCTGGGACTATCAAGGGCAAGAGCAGAGTGTGGAACCCTATCCAGAGAAGCAGTGATGCCAGAGAAGGAGGCAGAAAGGATGAAGTGGAGAGATGGAGCAGCTCGGGACTCTAGACTCAAGAAGGGAGAGGAACTGTGTGCTGTTGGTGGGATGGGTGGTACCCTTTGGTTGTTTGAATGGTTATATATTTCTGAGTGCTTCCCTGTACTTCAAAACAAACAAACAAAACCCAAAGGGAATGGAATCAAATGCTGTTGAATGATGATGCATGAAGGAGAATGTAATCATTGCAATGAAACAAAATACCATAGGATGAGTGTACAGCTGATGTTCTCCCATGTAAACTATCACTCAGTTCACAATAAAAACTTTTAAAAAAAAGCGATATAGAATCTCATTCTCTTTTTTTGAGTTCCGTCAATCCAGGGCATGTAATAACTGCTCCGAGAGTTATTAAAGGTAGAATAATTGATCTTTAAGAGTCAAGTGGGATATAGATCAATGGAACAGAATCAAGAATCCAGAAATTAATGCATCTACATACAGCCAATTGATCTTCGACAAAACACCAAAATATGTCCCATGGGGAGGGGATAGTCTCTTCAACAGATGGTGCTGGCAGAATTGGAAAATGATATGCAAAAGACTGAAAAAAGACCTTCACCTC